GGGAGGAAGGGGTTGGGGCCTGGAAGGGAGAGGGATAATGAGTACCAGCTGTATGATCATATCACGGCATCGAAGGAGGGGCCGATGATTTCTTTTAGGGAGAGGGAGTAGTAGATGGTGCGGGTTGGTGGAGGGGTATGAGGGTTCAATCTATGGGGTTTGTGAACATTACAGGTTGAATTTGAGGGAAACATATGTGTTTATGTTGTTTGTTGTACATATTGTATGGGTGCCATGTAATTGAATGTAATATATGTGACCGTACTTATGCCTGAGGCACTTATAACGGTGAGTTGCTGTCCGTGCCACCGTTGTATTGGTCATCCAAGAGCAGGATTATGTTGACCCGCTGCTTCTTACGCATGTCTCATAAACTCCATCTAGCATGAGACTCTAATTGTATTCAGTTCAATGGTACACTAGAGTGTTCTCATCGTTCTAGACTTGTTGTGATAATAGGCTCTTTTCTAGTAGGTCCCAGTAAAAGCTACCTCGAGCACGCCAACTACCAGTTAGCTATCTATCTGCCAGTGTATCGGACACATACAAGTCATTATACTATTAGACTTTCTAACTTGGGCAATAGTAGTAAGCTGCAAACGTTCTTAATGGTACATAGTTCTAGTTACAAAGAGTCATTACTATCCGAGGAAGCCCAAGTATGCAACATGAATACGACCTGCAATAATATAAATAATATATACTGATTGACCAACATGACTATATCTCAGATCTAATGAAAACCATTTGCAATACCATTCGCCATCTTCTCACCCGCATACTTCTCATACACCGTCTCCGGTGTCTTCACAGCCTCTACCCACTCAGCAAACTCTTCACCAGTCTCTCCCCGCTGAATCTTCCTCAACCTCGTCAACAACTCCAAGCACAGCGGCCCACTGCCGAACTCAAGCTTCTCCCCAGTCGAACTCCGCGTAATCGACCGAATAGGAACCACAGCAGCTGCAGTTCCAGCCGCCATGACCTCAGTGTATTGGTCAAGTGTATCCCAGGGCACCTAAGCAGCAGTCAGCACATACATCCCGCAAGGGTGAGAACAGATACACATACACTCCTCTTCTCCACTACCCACCCCAAACTCCTCGCTATCCCCTGCACTGAATCACTCGTCACACTATCAATAACACACTTACTATCCGGCACAACCAGCCTAACCACCTCTCCATCCTTAACAATGCCCAGGAAGCTCGACGTCGAGAACTCATCGACCTCCGTCTGTGACTGACTATCTAGATGCAAAGTAAGCGGAAACCCCTCCTTTCTCGCCATTTCTGTATATTTCATCACAGGCGCATAGTTCCCGCCGACCTTCCCATGGCCTGTGCCCCGGGGCGCGGCACGATCAAACTCCTCAATGACCAGCGCATCCGCTGCTCCGGTACCGTGGTAGGTGCCGAAGGGCTGCACATATACACAAAAAAGGTACTCGCGGGGAGGGGTGAGGGCGAAATGCCCTCCTACGCCGAAGGCGAGCGGGCGGATGTAGAGCGCTGCGTTAGTGGAGTGGGGTGGCACAAAGGCAGCATTCTCGGATACGGCGAGGCGGACGGCGTCGAGGAAGAGTGTGTCCGGGATGGCAGGGATAGAAACTAGGTCGGCGGAGTGGGCCATGCGAGAGGCGTGCTTGTCAGGGCGGAAGAGGAGGATCTCTTCGTTGGCATTGCGGGTGGCTTTGAGACCTTCGTAGATTTGTTGGCCTATTGTGATTAGTGACCATTGGAGGGGGTATAGGAGGGGATTGGGTATACCATAGTTGAGGCCCGGGGCAAGACCATGGATGCGGAGGTAGGGGTCTTTGACGAAGGTTGGGGCTTGCCAGGTTTGGGTTGTTGGGTCGAATTTGCATTCGACGTGGCCATTGACTGCCTGGGTTAGTTGTGATATATCGTTAGGGCTGCAGATAGAATGTACCGATGTCGGTCACGGCGAGCCCAAGTTTCGACCAGTCTGTGGTGGTTAGTGATGATTGTGGTGGATGAATGAGGTGGATGTACCAAGGTCAGCTGCTGGAGGTGCGAAGGCCATTGTGCAGGTTACAGTGTACTTTGTGAAGCGTGCGGAAGGTGAGTATGGTAGAATGATTATGAGGATGCTACAAAGGCAAACGAATGACGAGATAAAAAGACCTGAGACTTACACTGCCGATGCGGTACCAAATGCGTTCCAATCTACAAGACCTGCCACATGGTTGGCCCCATGCTGAGTGAACCATATACGCCCTTCCGCTCTCGTAAATGCAGCATCTTCGTGCGTTGAACAGATAAGCAATCTGATACATCATAAGCATCAGCCAAGTGTTTCATCCTGAAGCTGAAGCTCTCGTGTTCGGAGATTGTTGGCACATTGGCAAAGTTGTAGTTTCGGCAGGATCGAGCTCTGCTGCAGGTGCAGCTAACCTGACCTGGCTAGAAACGCGATCTGCGAATCGAGCGCAGTTACGAACGATTTTCTCCGATATCGTTCGTGTCTCGCCCGCTGACGTGAGACTAGCTCCAGTAGCATCCCCGTATAGCAACGTGCTTAGCTGTGTTTCTTATTCTCTTGGTTGGAATTGAGTTCCGCAGGAAGCCGATCAGGCCACGAGGTCCCAAATTGGTATTATTACTAGTGTATTGTTATCATGTTCTAAGACCAAATTACTTACGATACATACAGACATACAGTACACATTGTATTACAGTCACTGAAATCAGACTCCACCCTAATTCTACGTTTCGCACTCCCAACTCATGTCAAGCATCCACATCCCCCTGGTAGACGCATCGAGATCCTTCAGATTTACGCCGATAATCGACAGGAAGCTAGCAGGAAGTCATAGAACCTCAATGATGCATCAAGTATAGTAAATCCCATTCAATCTACCAATAACGCTGCTCTATTGCTTCCAAGATCCCCCGAGAAAAGAATTACCACACTCAAAGCCTAGCCCCCAGCTCATCAAACCGCACCTTCTCCCCACTTCCCAGAGAGCCCTGCAATGTCTTCGCAATTCTGACAGCCTCCACTGCACCCTGAATCCCCATAGGCAGCTCAGTATCATCCAAACAAGCCGCCGCAAACTCATTGACCTCGTCTACGAACGCCATCTCGAAGCGCTCATAGTAATGCGCCGGCAACTCGCGTCTAGCCCCAGTGCGATCAAAGATCCCCACCAGGTTCTTCTGCGCATGGCCATTGACCACTAACTTTCCCTCCGTTCCAATAATCTCCGTCGTATCCTCCTGCCCCGCCGCCATCATCCGCGAACAATACAGATACGCCACCCGGCCCCCATGGAACTCGATAATCCCGACCGCGTTATCCGCATCCCCGTAAGCCTTGAGCTCGGGATGCAGGGCCACGGTCCCACTAGCTACCACGCTCTTCACTTTGCTGTCGGCCCCAAAGAACCACAGGATCAGGTCGATGTCGTGGACGGAGCAGTCGCAGAAGATCCCGCCTGAGGTGGCGGCGAAATTCACGAAGGCGCCGGTGGGGTCGATCTTGTCGCATGTTTGGCTGCGGATGATGGCAGGGGTACCGATGAGCCCCATGCTCATCTTGTGGTAGGCGTCTCTGTATGAGACGTCGAAGCGACGGGAAAATCCGCACATGACTTTTAGCTCGGGGTGGAGGGTTGCCGCGTCGGCGACGGATTGGCACTAAGTTCTGACCGTTAGTAACGAATGTTGACATGATGAAATCCGAGATAACATACAATAGCAGCGTCTGTTGAGAGTGGCTTCTCGCACAGCACATGCTTTCCTGCTTCGATGGCTTTGATGGCCTGTTCTGCGTGAACAGTAGTAATGGTGGAGACGAGCACAGCTTCAAGACCGCTGTGGCCTAGCATAGCATCGTAGTCTGAGTAGATGGTCACTCCGTAGGGAACCAGGTTGGCCTCAGCCCATGCGGCTTCAACAGGGTCTGATGTGAATGCTGCCACCAGCGTGGACCGCGGGGACCGGTGCAGTATGTTCAGGGCGTGACGTTTGCCCATGCGGCCTAGGCCGGCGCAGGCAATCTGGAGGGTACGAGGAGCCATTGCTGTATTGAGAATATTGACAATTGAAGATTGGATGTTGAGGTTGGGAGATGGGTAGACAGACAGGGAGATATTTATATTGACTGGGCAAGCCTTTAGCCTAACTAGGATTGAGATAGAGGTCGATGAGGCGTGGAGTGACCCGCCTCGCTGATAGAAATAATATCGGTGGATATACGCAATCTGTTGGCATATCGTGAGCACTGTTTGGTGTTCGAGGCATGCATGGGTCAGCTCGGCTTGTGTTGTACGTCGTATTTGAGATCATGCCTCGGTTGTGATCCCTGCAATAGACAAGAGGATAACAGATCAGGCCCACATAGTCAGGCAGCTCAGCCGAAGTGCAGTACACAAATTCTTCGATAAAGAGGAGATGCCCCCGCCACAAGGGAGCTCCATCATGGTTTCAAGATTGGAAAATTATTGATCGAGCTTACTCTTTACTAGGAGGAGACCTGGTGAATGGTCCGTGCTGCCATATCAATTATGTGTCATTTGATGCGCCCTCCTTCAATCGTCGATTGAATTTGAGGATAATGTTGATGTTTGGGTAATCTTCAATTCCAGCGAGCCACAACTTGTCTTGCAGAACCAGAAGATGAGCCTGGAGCGTTGGAACATCATAGAAAGTATCCAAGAACATAGTAAACGTGTGTAATCTAGTCAGCGTTGGCTTCCTTCCATTTGTGTTGGAGCACGAACTGCAGAACGCTGTGAATGTTTTAATCCGCTTGCTGAGCTGATATTCCCTGACACTAGATCCTCATGTACTAGGACTAATGTACCTACAAAATCAGGCGTTTACCCACTGAACTGGCGTCAATGTGTTATACCAGCGGATCGAGTAATTGCGATCAGGTTGATAGCAAAGGGCAGGAAAGATTCATGAGGATAGCAAATGTATTTATAGACTGCATGTCGCTTGGGTCCACACAAATATAGTGAACGCAAACAATCACGGACTATCCCTGGTTACAGGTTTCAGGTAGACTTTCAGCGGCCGTTTCTCCCACATCAGAAAGTTCTTCTGCTGGATCCAGTCATGGCAGACCTCCGAGATAACCATATCAAAGTTAAACATGATCAAGGCGAGAATGAGACGCATCTCGCTGTATGCAAGGCTAAAGAAAAAGCTTAGTCACACCACGGGAATGGAGCAAGAGATTGAATTGGAACTTACTTTCTCCCCAGGCAATTTCTTGGGCCCACATGGAATGGTTGAAAAACGTCACGACGATCATTCGCGAACTGAGGGCTGCCCATGAAACGCTCGGGGTGATATGAGTTGGGGTCCGTGAAGTACTTTTCACGATGATAGAGTGCCCACTGGTGCATTGACACATAAGTCTGTGTAACATGTTAGAAACGTTCTAATAGGAGATCATAGATAGACCCACGCTTGCTGGTATATAGTGTCCAAGCACCGTGCAGCCTCCTCGCGGGCACATGCGCGGGAGACCGTTTGCTATAGGTGGGTACATACGCAAACCTTCATCAAGACACGCGAGCATATAGGATAATTTGTTGACACTGATCAGGTTGATCTCATCTTGGCTGCGGAAAGTGGACCGAACTTCGTCCCTCAGCTTTTGATGAGCTCCAGGGTTCTCGAGAAGGAAATAGGTGACTCCACTCAACAAAGACGCTGTGGTCTCTGAGCCTCCAATAATCAGAATCTCGGCGTTAGCGATCAGGTGATCCATGCTCAGGCCCTACATGTACGGGTGAGAATGAACCTTTGGCAAACGTGATTCTTTGTACCTTACCAAATCTTCCTTTTTCTTTAACAGACTGTTGATCAGATCCGGTCGATTTTCGGTAATAGCCAATCGGCGGAGCATCTTAGTCGTGGTAAGGGCTTTATGCTTCTTCTGGGCATCCTGGAGCGATTTCGGAACCAACAGCAATAGAAGTGTTCTGAACATGGGGTAGAACGATATTGACTGAAGTATGACTCCCAACCGCCCCGATTTAAATATACTTTTGATCCAAGAATCATATTTTGCATTTTCCAAACAACCAAACGCTTCACCAAATGCAAGATCACCGATGATATCAAAGGTGGTGAAATTGTACCAGTCTGAAAGGGCCACGGGTTGTCCACTTTCGCAGTGCACATGCAACTTCTCCAAAAGCAAATCAGTGTATTTGCGAATCAAGGGCTCCTGATCTCGCATTGACTTCTCCGAGAAACCATGAGCCATGGCGCGACGCAGACGTTTATGCTGATCTCGCTCTTCGTTGACAATGTGTCGTGCTTCGGGAAACGGTCGGTAAAACCAATCGGCTTTGCCCAGCTCTTCCTCGCCGTTCTTGTGGCCCATGATGTCCTTCCAGGCGTCCGGATGCGAGAACGCAAGTTCATCAGGTGCAATGCGGACAATATCCCCATAACGATCATGGAGGTCCAACGTATGGAATGGGAGCGTCCCTAGGAGCGCATAGTAGCAATAGGGAAGGCGAGAAAGGGCATGGGAGACCGGGCCCGGGAACCGACTGAGTGGGTGAAAGAAGACACTATAGACAATTCTAGTGACATAATAAATGATGATCTGCGCAGGACAGTTAGATTTAGTGTTGTATTTATAGCAAGGAAGTATTTATAGCAAGGAAGAGATAATACCGTGGAAAGAAGTACTGCCAACCCCGTGCTACCGTCAATTAGAATTAGATTGTTCGTTGTGAGCATGTTCAGCAATGTGAGGACCATCCGCCAGTGGATGATAGAATATTCCAGGTAAGGTTGCTTCGGCCATATTTATATACAAGTAGGAGGTGCTTTCTTTTAATGGATGTATTTGGAGACATGCGCAGGCTGCCACAATTCAAAGTCCAGAATGATCTGAGAATAGAAACGCGGGAGGAGGCAAGCAAATAAACCTTCAATTAAAGTTCCTGCAGAAAAAATGGAAAGCGAGTTCGAATGCGAACCCGAACCCGAACCCGAAGCCAACCCGAAATGTGGAACCCTGAAACACAATCTAACAAGAAGATCTGCACGACGTTGATGGTGAACAAGCCAACCATATCTCGCCAAACAGCTGTTTCCGTACTTATGTATATCCGTGGAGTCCTGGACCAGCAAGGGCATCCTAAAAATTGCCGTTGTAGCCAAATTCCTTCGTCTGCATCTCTCAGCAGGAAAAGGGCAGAATCAAGCATAGTTTGTACTTGTTACATCCGCTGTTTAGAAGGTTAATTCGACTGCCTAGATACAAGAAGACGTATATATGTATAGACCAATGCGACGCTCAATCCTCGCGGTCTACATCTTCCAAGGAAAGTTATTCTCAACGACCTCTTCCACTGTGAACAACTTCCAATCATGACTTCTACGCAATGCGAATTGTATTTGTATACCCCTAGCCTTGCATTGGCAATTATCGCAGTCATTCTATTCTCTACCCTGACTACCATCCATATATACCGCATGATTGAGTCAAAAGCGAGGTTCGGCATATTCTTCGTCCTCGGTGGTCTGGGTAAGTATCCCGATCACTGATGCCCTTTTACTTCGTTAACAACATGTAGCACAATTGGTCGGATATACAGCGCGATCCTTTTCGACGCAAGATGTCTGCAATAGGGCCACGTACGGTGTGCAATCAGTTGCACTGTTGATGGGACCGACATTGATTATGTTTTCCGTTAACCTCACTCAAAGCGAATTTGTTAACGTGCTCGATGCCGAACAATTTTGTTGGCTCCCACTGGCGTGGCAGAGGGGCGCCTATCCCGCTCTGAACGCAATTTTGATGGTCGTTCAGCTTGTTGGAGGGTGCATGACAGTCTCATCCTCGACTGCAACCGTGGCGACGGGGACGAAGCTAACAATTGCTTTATACGTGATCCGGACAGTTTTCTGGGGATTCACTATGGCAGAAAATATCTGGGTGAGCTATCGCTTGGGACGCCATCCTACAGCTGCTAGTAGCTGCGTGCTGGCTAACTGGAAGATGTGGAACCAATTGATCCCCTTAGCAGGCTCAATCATTGCCACTGGACGCAACGTGATGCGGCTGACAATGGCGGGCGGCATTGAGTTTCTCGTGGACTATGAATGGCCTTCGTACGCATTTGATGGGTATTAAATGGTCGTGGTTTTAGGTGCGTGGGGGATCTGGTACTTACCGGGGAAGTGTCGGGAACTTTCTACTCGAGTGCGCTATATAAACCTCACTCGGCTGGAGAGAGTGGTGGATGACGTGTAAGAGAGGTTTTGGCTCATTTGTGAGATTTGATTGCTCGTTTTTGGTATTGGTAACATAAGGAACTGGAATTCGCTGGCACAGCATTATTCTGCAATGAATATATTTTGTACCTGCTTTCCGAGAGCTATTTCTACTTTATTATTCCAACATTTCCGATAGCACATGTACATAACAAGCTGAGGTTGCTGTGTGTTTATATCTTAGGCGTTTAGAGAGTTTTCAAGCAAGGATTCATTGTATAGTATCTTGAATTTTCCCATTTCCTATTTCCGTAATGCCAAAGGTTGAATGAGCCAATGCATTCCCAAGATTGCAACCTATCAATGGCAACGGACGAAAAGCATCTAGCCCTACGCCCGTTTATTCGCAACCCTAATTGACAAACCCTCCAAAGACGGCACTGTATCAAATCAAAAATAGAGACATCAGCGCCCATCTGCGACGATCAAATTGCGCAGTTCAACCGCCACCAGCGAGTCCACACTATAGGAGGAGATATCCTCAGCAGCAGACATCATTCGACCACCAGCCCAAATATGCTAGCCAATTTCCTCATCAGCTCTTGGCAGATAAGATGATCCCGCAACTTGCCCTGTTGCGTATTATCTCCCTGGTGGAACTATGGTTTCCACTCAAGTGTGTACACTGCATCGCAACGAAGCTATCTTTCAGGATTCCAAAAGGTATATCCCCATCACCTCTAACATATGACTATATCTGGAAATGCTGTACATGCTAATGGTATATTTATCCATTCGAAGGTTAGAGCCTCGTCGATGGGAGTCTCCGACCCATGAGATGAAAGACGCCTACATGCCTTCGGTGGCACCTCCAGGAGTAAGCCGCCGTTTACTACCGAAACACTCATACATTATCTCACTTATCGTTAACCACTTCAGTCGAAAATAGCGTGTATCGGTAATAGCCTCGCGTTATCGGAGAGCCGACTGACCACGGCCCTCTTCCTACATCAATTTCCCGAGGTTCACATGTCGCGTCGGAATAGCATGCGGGATGAGATTTGGCATAGGAGCAGTACTTGATGATGGCACCAAAGGGCCATCGCTTGCTTGTGGAAGCCTGAGTTGACTTCCTCCACAGTATCGCTAAAAAATAAGAACCATATGGTGTAAGAGGCTTAAGTGGCAGGTTGACCTTATTTGCAAATACATAGACACGGTCATATAGATGGTTCAAGAACCTTAAAAATTACATGCACGAAAGAATATGACTGCAAGCCTCATATTGTATTCAGTATCTAACAATAGTTATTCTAATTCTTCGTCAACTCGGCCACCCGCACCTCAAACACCTTAGCCGTTTTAGTCATCATAGTATCAATGTCATAGTCCCAGATACGGTGAGATCGCCAATACACCTCATCATGGCATTTAGAGGCATCAGAACCGACCTCATTATCCTGCCATTCGTATAAATTACCGATAATGCGACTACTTTCAACCAGCCACTGCGCACGCTCACGACGAACAGCATCATAAGTCTCAAATGCGGTTGTTATTCGAGCGGCTTTCCCCGTGGGGCCACATTTCGTCGCGTCCACTCTCTTCGCAGCCAGGTCAAGCACCGCACACAGCGCAGCCACGTCTTCTACACCACAGCCCGCACCGGCGCCGTGATGCGGAGCCGCCGCATGAGCTGCATCGCCGGCTATACAGACAGGTCCTCGGGAATAGGTATTCGGAGGATGATCGTACGTATCAAAAACAGCCCATTGATCAGTAGGATCAGGCAGCAGGTCGATTATGGTGCGCATCGTAGGGCCAAAGCGAGAAAAGGCAGCCGCCACATCGGCCTTGTTCCTCTGAGCCGTCCAACGATCAGCATATGGCCAGGGGTTAGGGTCTGTGACGAAGGCGACGACATTCAACGGTGATCCGAGGGCAACGGGGAAGGTCAGAGCATGGGCATCAGGACCGAGGTGCATGAAGCGCGTCGCCACTTTAGCGTCGCCCAGTGCTTCCCTGGCGCGATCATCGGGATAAGGCCGCGCGCCGCATATTTATGGCTGTAATGAGCCGATGCTGCTAGGTGGTCTTCACCGAAGAGAATTTGGCGAACACGCGACCGGATCCCGTCGCAGCCGATCACTGCATGAGCTGTAACTGTCGTGCCATCTTGGAAACGGAGTAGCTGGCCGAGTCTATTATCTGCTGCGGGCTCCATAGTATCCAGCGCCTTGTGGAAGGTAACAATACCCTCAGGGAGTAGACGTGCTAGCTCTCCCAACAATTGGGCACGGTGACAGCCCTCGAAACCACGCTCGCCTAGGTAGATCTTGAAAAGCAGCTGTTCCTCGGTCTCCCGCGGGTCGATACTGGTCTCGTTGAATCCGTCCACCCACTGGAACCAGTCTGAAGCATTAGGGGTAGCGACGCGTTTGAATGCAGTATGGATACGCGGGTTGACCACTTTCATTGCCCATTCGGCGTTGGGAGTGAAGCCGATGCCCGCTCCGATTTCGTGAAAGTCGCGGGCTCGCTCGTAGACGCGGACGGGGATGCCGCGAGACAGGAGTCCCAAGGTCAGGGTGATACCCGTGATTCCGGCCCCGATTATGGCGATTTCAAATTTGTCTGTATCCATCTTGCTGGCGTATGAATTAATTGGGGTAAGTTGTTGGGAAGCGACATATCTATCCCTCCAATATTAGTGGTGGGGTGCTAGATGGCTGTTTATCGATAGGGTATAAGATTTTTGTGCTTACTGCCAAGATGACGACTGCGTTAATTGAGGGGATCACTGAATTTACATAAGAGTTTTGTATTGGTTTCATTATTGACAGGAGTTATGGGCATGACCCTAGGAGGTGGTATTGATAGTCTACAAGGGCTGCATGGGTTGCATAGGTTGCTCCTAGATTCGCTCGAGACTGTTCGACGAGTCACCGCGATGGGAGACCTTATCGAAGTCTCTGACACAAAATATCCCGAGCTTTGCGTGGGCCTGCCCTTTGCCGGGTCCAACCTTGGAGTTGTTACCACGGCTACCTGTTGCACACATCGTGCAACCAATGGGAGTCTTGTCACCAATGTAAACTTCATCTTTGTTGCTACCGAGCACGCTGCTATTCTGCAGGCACTGAGCTCTGTCGATGAGACGCTTCCGCCTGAACTGAAACTAACTCCGGCGGTGGCCTATAACCGAACCATTGGCCAGGTGAGCATTGGTCAAGATGGTTCCTCCTCGACCACGGTACTAATTATGGGAAAGCCACTTGTGCCGGCGAATACTATTTGCTACGGCCCTCAAGAACAAGCGTTGGGGCTATTGAGCCCCTTCAACAGTCTCCTCCCGGTTATGTCCCGCAGTGTAACCGTGCCCTGAAAGGCCCTGCTCGACACCACCTTCTTTGGCTTAGCCGCCCAGGAAGTAGGGGCCTGCTCTAAATACCAAGCTGTCAATGTCTACAGTATTGGCTCTCCCACACCGACACATTTGCCTGGGAGTCGTACTTGAAGCAGTTATTGCAATTCTATCGCTATAATCCCACCTACGATGGACGCTTTCTTGTCCAACGCTAACCCACTTAAGCGGCCCTAGCCACGCCGTAATCGGATATGGCTCATCTTCACCAACAGATAGAGATGCATACGTAAGGGGCTCCCAGCCACAAAGATTTTGTACAGAAATTGACGCTCAAGCCGCAGCAATCTCGAGTGATGGCACACAGGAGCCTGCCTTGAAGACCCAGTCGACGCCTTCTTTCAAGAATCTCGCCGCCATTTCCAGCATTCCAGCGGCTTCGACAAACTGGCCGTTTATGTGAATTATGCTCATAGCGATGAGGGGCCAGATGTATGGCATACGCCGGAAAAGCTGGGCGATCTGACTCGGCTGAAGCAAGCCTGGGATTCTGAAGAGCGATTCAGCTGGAGTGATCCTGTTCCTTCATAGAATGAGTCTTTAGAGCTGCAGTGTCACTGAATGTACATACCAGGAGCTGATTCTCGGCGAATGGAGTGGTGGGCTTTTGCAAAGCTTTCCTACTCGGATCGTACTACTCCGCACAGTTGCGGCAGTCTTCACCCGGAGTTTACGATCGGACTTTGGACCTGAGAGCGATCGGCATTCATTGCTAGCCTCTCAATTCCCAGACCTCGGACTAATTCACATGACCATAAGCTAGGGCATATAGGTCCAGTCTACCCCACTCGTACTACATGACTTTATTCCCACTTAATTTTTCCCCGCCTCTCACTTATTTACCATGTATTTTCAAGGCGAGGGCAGCATTGACATTCCCGTGCAAGACATCATTTCCTGGATTTTCGACGAAGAACGATATGATATCGACAAGCCAGTAAGCCTATAATCTCCCTCCAATGGCAAGATGCCGCTCATGCAACACTGCAGGTCTACATCGATGCCTCCGATACGAGCCGTTCCATTTCCTGGCGACAAGCCCGCATTCTGGTGCGTCAGTTGGCCGCTGGATTCAAAGCAGCGGGTCTGAAGGACGGCGATTGTGTGTGCCTTCACTCATTCAATGATGTATGCACTCCAGCACAGAATATTTCGTCCCCTCCGACGGAATTCCACTCACATAATGATCAGATCTATTACAGCATCCTTGTGCTCGGAATAATCGCAGCCGGGGGAATATACATGGGCACCAATCCGAGCTATACATCCCACGAACTCGGCTATCACCTCCGAGAAGCACAGGTTAAATTCGTCATCAGTGAACCAGAGATGCTACATCGCATGATCCCCGCCGCTGAAGGCAACGGTATTCCGCAAGACCGCATCTGGGCCTTCACAACGCGCGAGTCGCAGGTTCCAGCGACGACGGGACTTGCTCCTTGGACTGCGTTGCTGAAACACGGCGAAGCCGACTGGCGCCGTCTTAATGATCCCAGTCAAGCGAAAACCACCGTAGTAGCGAGACTGTTCAGCTCCGGTACGACTGGTCTCCCTAAACCCGTGGATTTTACCCACTACAATCTGATCGCACAACATACGCTGGTGTACGATGCACATCCCGTCCCATTTGAGGTCAGAACACCTCCATCCCATCCCCAAGTCGCATATAATCCCCACCTAACAACTACTAGGCACGCCGAATCCTCTATCTGCCCTTCTTCCACGCCGCCGCAGCCCCATCCGCACACTTCAGCACCCTCCGTCTTGGCGATCCATCCTACGTCCTTCGCCGCTTCGAGCCAGACCTCTTCTTAACCACTGTTGACAAACAAAAGATTACCGAATGCACGGCCGTCCCGCCAATTATTCATGCGATACTCGCCCAGTCCACGACCTCGAAAAATTCCAAGTCATTACAATCACTAAAAGTCATCCGCTGCGGCGCCGCCCCACTAGACAAAACAACTCAAGCACGTCTTCAGGCCCTCCTCTCCCTAGACGCAACCTTCACCCAAGTCTGGGGCATGACGGAAGCCTCCTGCATCGCGACCATGATACCCTACCCTGAACCAGACGACACAGGGAGTGTGGGCCGGCTACTCCCCGGTATAGAAGCGAAGATAATCGACTCGGACGGGAATGATATCACTGCTCCTGACACAACAGGTGAGGTCTGTCTACGGGGCCCTACCATCGTACGCGGATACTTCAACCTCCCTTCCGCCAATGAGAACGCGTTCGATAAAGATGGGTTCTATAGAACAGGCGACTTGGGGTACTGCGATGACAAGACAAAAATGTGGTATCTGCTCGATCGGAAGAAGGATATTATCAAGGTTCGCGGGTTCCAGGTTGCGCCGGCGGAGGTGGAGGGCGTGCTGAGGAATCATCCGCGCATTCGAGATGTCGCGGTGGTGGGAGTCCATGATGCCGAGGCAAAGACGGAGTATCCGAAGGCGTATGTCGTGAGAGAGGATCAGTCGCTACATGAGGATCAGGTAAAGGAGTACGTGGCGCAGCGGTTGGCGAAGTATAAGAGGTTGGATGGTGGGGTGCGGTTTGTGGGTGCGATCCCGCGTAATGCGAGTGGGAAGATTCTGAAGCGGTTGTTGGAGGATAAGAGCACGGTGAAGTTGTAGATGAAGGACAGGGAAGGCAAAAGAGAAAGGGGTTCTTATTGACGTCTACAGCAGCCAGGTTGCCAACCAGGCGGCTTCGGCTCCTGACTACGTCTTCATTATTCGATAGGAGCGCGATCATCCCAAAGTACTGAGAAGGCTATGACCACCATGAGAAAGAATATCATATTTATTCTCTATCCTACCAGATCCTTCCTACGGTCATGCCAAGCGTGGAGAATCCGTTTCCCTGACCCTTCAATGTCTATGTGACATAGTGTACTTCTGAGATAGCTACAAATGAGCCTGCTCCATCATCGAGGTCACTGCATCTCCCACACAAGTGTCCAAATCGCGGAAAGTCATTCCCAGCATCCTGCGCGACTTAGAGTTATCAAAACCAAAAATCGGCTGGGGCAGGTCATCGGGCATATCGCTTGGAGGCAGCTTGTGAGCCAATTCTGGGTGCGTGGCACGAATAGCCTCCGCAACTTGCTTGTTCGAGAAGTGGTCAGCCACGGTAAAGAAGCGATGTCCACTGACCTCGGGCAGCTCCAGCGCTTTACGGTGAGCGAACGCAACATCACGGACATCCACGAAAGTGAAAGGAATGGCGATAGGCGCGCCCCCATCTTTCCATTTTCCGAGCATCAGGTCACGGATAATGTGGTTTGAGGTGTTCAGGGCTTTGAGATCGGTGACGTGTCGTGGCTTTGGTCCGAACACCAGCGGGGGGTTAATAGTGACAAGGTCGAAGTTCGGCTTCTCTTTCTCGACGAATTCGAAGGCGGCGCGCTCAGCGAATATCTTCCGCTCTGTGTCAGTAGTGGATAGTGTCGTGCGGTGATAAGTGGGCCCATACCTTGCTCGCGCGATATGTAACCTCCGGTACCATGGCCTCCTCCCAGGTCATTGATCCATAGCTGGTCTCATCGTACACCTCTGGGTGGTTGGGAGGAGTTACAATAGTAGCCGAAGAGGAAGTCACAACCACTCGCTTGACGGTCTGTGCGTAAGCCTTGATGGAGGCCAGCAGTCCGGCGGTACCTTTGATTGCTGGGTCAAGGAAGTCCGTTTTAGGATCGGTGTAGTTGAAATGATAGGGCGAGGCCGTGTGGACGACCAAGTCCAGGTCAGAAATGGATTGGATAGCCTGGTATTCCATGTTAGCCGGCACTTGGAGTATCTGCTTAGCCGTGTAGAAGAGTGAGGGTTACCTCATCATAGGCCCCATCTTTGGCAATATCCTCCACCACCACATACGAAGCAGCCTGATCGCCGGTATTCGACAACGATTCGAGAAGCTGGCGGCCCTTGTCGTGTGTGCGAACAGTCACTACCACTTGATACCTAGGATACGTCAGCGTTGTGAGCAGAAGGATTTCCGTTTGGTGAAAATGCTTGCTTACCCAGCGTCCAGCAGCTCAGTCAGAATGTGCGAGGCGATGAAGCCTGTGCCACCTACATATCCAGGAAAGTTGGTTCATCTGCTGCAAAAGCATGGCAATAGTGGATTCCACTGACCTGTAAGTAGTACCTTTTTCGCGAGAGAACCCATCGTGAGCAGCCAGTGAACAAGTACAGAGCTCCTGGTTGTGTGTGTTTCCTGCTACAGGGCGATACTGTCTAAAAAAGGGTTGAAATATATCACTGCTCATGGCTGTGTGGGGAAGTTCCATTCTCAGCTCGGACAAAATATTCTGGGGTGAGCAGTCATGAAGGATGAACTGTCAGAGATCGCTGCCTATGCTCGGATACCCAAGGACATGGCAAGTCCGTATGAGAAACTCCGGGTGTGCCCGATCTGTTGCCCACTTATCCATTATCCTATTGGATGTCCGCGGAAAAGCAACGATTAGGAGGGCTATAGTAAAAGATCATATAGACCCATAGAAATAAGTGCATTATCCATACCTACAGTAATCGCCTCCAGCTCAGGCACTTCGACCCAGAAGCCGAGTTCGTCAGTAAGAACCATAGCAATGAACGGTTCCAGATCCGAAAAGAAGACCTCAGTCCATACGGGTATATCCTCGGTAAACTGCCAGTACTGCAGGTCTACAGCCACATCATGCTTTCTTTTGCCATGCCTGAGGGGGTGTCACAAGACACTATCATCGCCGATCCCGAGGCTGCAGTGCGCCAGATCCGATCCCATGTGCCCTGGATGGCCGGCAAAGTTGTTAATGTTGGTAAAGGCCCGGGAAATCCAGAGCGATATGTTGTTGCACCACGCCCTCCCCCAGATCCTCTGATTGTGGTGCGCGACTTCGCACGCCTTCCCTCTTTACTCGGAAATTCTGTGTATAGGTACCCATTTCTCATATCAGACTCGCGTCTACTAGCCCCAACAAATGCCTTTCCCCCGCGCTTCAAGGATTTTGAAGAGGACACGTTTCGGGTAATCCGCCTTCAGACCAGCTTCGTCGAAGGGGAAGTCTGACTAGACTTTGTCACCCAACATAACATGACCGATGCAGGCGGTCTTTTCGGCTTTGTCCGCCTGGTCTCCATGGCTATGTGGGGACAACAGTTTTCCGACTCCCTCTTAGAGCAGGTCAATCGCGATCGGCACAACCTCATCCCGCTTTCGAGCTCGGGTGAACCCATATTAGATCACTCCCACCATACCCGTCCCCCAATCACCGATGCGCAGCCCGTCGTGCGCCCTGATCAGCCCAGTGGCATTTTCTTGCGCTTTACCGCTGCCAATGTGGCTGAGCTGAAGGACCTCGCTAGTCAATCTATGATTTCATACCCAGAGGGTGTCCTACATCACAACCGATGATGCCGTCAGTGTTTTCTGTTGGAAATACATCACAGTATGGCATCGGTGGCAGAACATGCCAGACGCGCGCCCTCGGTTCTCGCGAGCCATGGACCGCCGAAAAGTACTAGGGATACCAGCCGAGTACATGGGAAATCTGGTTCATGTCACAACTTGGCTCACATTCCAGGAGCTAATTGATCCTCCGCTTGGCGAGATCGCGCGCCAGCATCCATTTCCCAGTCTGCTTTACTTCTTTCCACAGAACACTCAGGGAGATTGTGACTCGTTAACCTGTTAAACTGATTCTGATATGGAGGCAATGAGTCGGGACCCGGAGTGGACTTCCATGGTGGAGTCCATTGGGTAGGGTAAGAGGCACTTCATTAAACTCCGAATCAGGGCTTTTTGAAATTCCGCGTGGCAAAGTAGTAGGTAGCCAAACGAGAACTGTCAAGACCATTATCATCTCGTATCTCTCAGATGAGCAAGATCTCACTAACCATTGTTCAAGTAAGTCTGGCGCGTGGAATGTTTCTCTGTCCCCATCTAGCAGGTGGTACCCATGTGGCATTTGTATCTAGACCTATGCCTACAGTTTTAGCCGCAACCTCAGTTTTTTATATTCATGAGTCCCCTTGTTACCAAGCCCACAGCATTCCATACATTCTACCCCCGATAATTTAAACTCCAGTATACACTATGCCCACAAAACTCATAAATGACACTATCCCCCCTTCCACCACGGGACTGGCACTAACGCCCGCATCTACCACGGCCAATGCAGGGTCTCAAGCACATTGCTAAGTCCTCACATCCGGCTCAGCTTTGCGGAAGCTCCCGTCCCCTCCCAGCCAGGGCCGGACGTAGTGTCCGTCTATAGACACTTCGGTGACTTCAAGGGCTGGATCCCGATGCCGCTGAATGCCTCGGTCTCATCCACCATCTTCGCAGAAAAGATCCTCAACTCCCTCCGTCACATAATTGAGCATTACGATCGATCAGGCGCAGATGGGGAGTGGGTTGCCGTGCCTGGATTTAGTCAGGCCGCCAGACTAGCTGCTAGTCTGCTCTTCCAGAAACAGCTCAGAGGGACTGGGCTGGTCGGAAGGTATGGTGAAATCATCTTTCGCTTCGCTGTCTTGTTTGCCAGGAGGGACCCGATGATTTCTGTTGATGCAGATGCTATGATGTCGGTGTCTTCGGCGGTCTTATCGTTGCCTACGATACATATCCATAGGCTGCAAGATCCCGGGTTAGAGTACCATCGTGAGCTTCTGGAGAGGTAATGCGATCGTCGGAAGGCTTCTTTGATCGAGTGGGAGGGGAATCAACGGGTGCCCATCAAATAGAAGGATGCTCGTATGGTGATGGAGGAGATTTTGAGTGTTGCGCAGAAAATAGGTCCCGTAGCACCTTCGGCGATGCAAGGGGGGATGGCATCTTGATGGCGGCGCCATCCCTTTGGATCGTTAAGGAATGGATTTTGCATTTCCCTTCATATAGGACTGGATTGAGCCGCCCTCGTGGTAGACAATCTACTGACATACTCTGAAAATTGCTCATAGGCGACAAATCATATGGCTGATCCGTAGATTGCTTGTTTGTGGTAGCTCTAGATCAATCCTGCATGTGTGGGGTTTGACTGTACACTGGTCATTTCCATCTTCGTTCGCAATTTATGCACAATGGCCAATATTGTTGTCACGGTGATTTAGGATGAGATAGATAGGCTACACTTCACCATCCGATTTTACTGGGAGAACTCTGATTATGTCTACTCACGACGTGGCTCCACAATGTCTTGCCGGTTATCCTCATTGTTATAAGATGGACAATTGTTCAATGGTCGCAGACTGATGAAGCATACATACTTGGTAGTCTTCTTCCGTGCCATTTAACCTCCCTGTATAAAAAAAATAACAGTAAGAAAGTGAGAATAATCAAAGGCAAGAACTTTTGGTCCACACTTCCTGCACATTTTGAGTTCTTGTTGTTGGTTGTGGGTTGGTTGATGTGCCATTAAAGATCATTTGCAGGTCGGGCAGCGGCAAGGAAAAAAATGGTCCCAGAGGGGCTCGAACCCTCGACTTTGACGTTATTAGCGTCACGCTCTAACCAACTGAGCTATGGGACCCAGTTGATATATGTTCAACTTTTCTATAACCTTAACAAGAAACACGGATCTCAACTGCGTGAGATCCGTTCTACCCTGAACTCCTCACCACCATGGCGACCCAATAGTAAGTAACAATGCCACGATTATGGTATCTTTTAAAGTCAAATAAATCCGACAAATAAATTGTGCACTGAGTTTATCTAGCTTTAACAGTAACATGCGTGAAATCGGTTCGTCATTAAGGGTGTCTATGCAATCATGGTGTTCAGATATATATTTTGAACAGCATCAGACAATGAATCTATGGATATTATTTCCATCACCCTCATAGTAGACACACATCGAAGGTTCCCGGTCAAGTCAATTCGCCGAGGGCAATTACCATCAACACATATTTTCCCCATCCAAATCTCAAACGTTAAGGTTCTAGGATATGGTTGCTGCCTATTGAGAATGATACCACCCGAACTCCGTGTTGCACAATCAACAGCAGACATTTCGAGCCAACACTGACAATGGGACACGGACCACAATGCCTAGGCATGCACACGCAAGCTCATCAAGTAGTACCAAGTTTCTAAGCTACTGACAAGGTGACATCGGTCGTTGTATTAATAAACACTGGAACACCGACGATCCCTCCGGACTATGGCCCTCTGCCCAAGCCATCCCTATTTTCGAGGAATGTCACCACGTTTGACGCCTCTCGCCATCGGGACCCCAAATGATTCATCTGCTGGCTTGGAACCAACAAAAGTATAAAAAAACAAACCATGTTACGGACACTATCGCGGAGTAATCTGGTCTTCATCTCCACCACGATGGTTCCTGGCACATGGCAGGCCACGCGACTCCATAGGTGGATCCGCATCCTGCCGCAACGTGTCGGAAGGCTTTGTTCCACGTGGACATTAACAATGAACGATATACATCGTATGCTGCGTAAATATGGGATGGCTGTAGGTGCCCCATGGTGTTCTATGTATTCCTGGGTGTTTTGACGTATGTATGTTTGGTATGTTTGGAATACCGGTATGTAATAGGTTACACATGGTATGTATGTATGTAACGTGTTACGATTCAACATCTCCCTTGTACTGCCCACCCAGGCAAGCTAAACGCCGAAGGATCCGACCTGCAGATGCAGGGAGCTGAAGTTGCACCTAGATAATCATATCACCACGAGCTATTGAGGCTTCTATCTACAGGGAAGCGGCGAAACAACGCCCGAGTACCGAATGTAACAAGAGGACGAGCCATGCTGACAGTGGCCCATACTCATTGAGCAGCAGAATTCCTTGAAACTGCACTCTTTTTGTCACCTGTTGTCCATAATACGTCCATAATTCACTGTCCTATCAAACAAACACTACCACCATAATCATCTTCAAGGCATAATGGACATATCGGCCTTCCTCAACTCGATAACCTGGCAAAACACCCTCCTGTTCGCAGGAGGGGCTTACATCCTCCTGAATCTGAAAGGCCTTCCTTTCGTCTGGCATGTCTGTTTCCCTTTCCCTTTCCCTCAGTCCAGATATCTCTTGACCCAATTGCTCAATCAATTATTCCTCATACTAAACAAAAGAATCCGATACAGGTTCGCCTCATAAACTGCCTCAAAGAACACATAATCCTCAACCGCGCCCGCAAAGTGGACATAACCACCCATGGCCCCCAATCCCTCTTCTACCCAGTCATTACGACATCCTCCACCCCGCTCCTAGAGATTGACTACAATATGCACAAGTCCAACGCAACCTATTTTACCGACCTAGACATAAACCGTGTGCACTTGATCTGTAATTTGGTTAAGGACCAGCTCGTGCTAGGCTTTTCGGGTGGGGAGCTTAACATTGCTCTTGGATCCACGGCATGTGTCTTTAAAAGGGAGATAAAGCCCTATCAGACGTATGAGATCCATACGAGAGTGTTGAGCTGGGATGAGAAATGGGTGTATTTCGTTAGTCATTTCGTCAAGACCGGCGGGAAGAAAGACAAAGGGAAGGTAGTGTTCGGGGGTAGTGCAACAGGTATAAAGGATGAGAAATGTATCTTAGCCTCTGCTGTCACGAGGTATGTTTTCAAAAATGGGAGGATATCAGTTAGTCCGGAGACGGTGCTCTCGCGGGCTGGCTTGTTGCCTGAGAAGGGGGTTAAGATGAAGGATGGGTTTTGGTCGTGTGAGAGGGTTGAGGAGGAGAGGAAGAAAGGCTTGGATGTGGCGAGGTCGTTTCTTGCGTTGGATGGGTTGCATGCAATGTTTAGGGGCGACGGGAAGGCGATTGGGGTGTTTTGATGGGAGGTCGACGTGACCGATAGACATAGATGGCTTGAGTACCTGGTATTGGTCAAAAGCACCATAGAATTTGGAGGACATAGACAGAATGGCTTGGAGCTCGAGGAACGTGGTCATGGCCAACTTAGTGATCAGTGAGTTACATGCCTTGTAGGCGTAATTCAAGTCTCAATGGACTGTCTGACATGCTGTTCGTTTGACTGTAGCTACATAGTTGCGCGGACTGAGGTCAATATGTGGTAACGTAATTTAATTTAGTCTTATTTCTTATTGCTGATCTTACTAACAGACCGCAGAAGACAAGGAAAATAGGACATAGAATGATATAATCGACTAGTTAAGTATAATATTGAACATTCTGGTATCACCAACGCCAAAACCATATATAAACCAAATGCAACTATGCAACGACAACCTCCGACGACCGAGCGACCTTTTCCAACCCGCGCTCAACATCTATACACTCTTGCCACTAGGGACGACTAAGTTAGAATCTGAAAACCTAGACAACAAAGGTAATCAACTCACCTCTGCCAAAACTTTCGCAATGATCGGCGACTTCGTCAACCGGAACACCTGCCGGAAGTATTCCTCGCTAACTTC